TGAAATGGCATCAGTTAGTTCTTCGGTATGGGTTGGATCCAGACTAGTGATTCTTAATCTGCATGGTGGTTGCTCCTGTAACTTGAACAAGGAGCATTCAGAGCAGCACTGGGTCTGCTCCAATTATTTCTCTTCTAGATCCAGTTGTTGATCCAAACAATATGAATCTCCCACATAATGTGGACGAGTCCAGAAAGCATGAACTGCCAAAGGTCTTCCTTTGCAGTTCAGGGGTACGTGGGAATATGAGCAACCTTATCTGGCTTCAGGACTCTGTGGCTCTCGGAATCGTAGCCTGAATCCAGATTTACACTAGATCAGTTGCACTCCCAGTAGAGGACTGACCTGGCTCCTTCTTTCCATGGAGGCTCTTCTGGCTCCCTGAAAATCCACTGGGGTGCAGAGCCTTCTTCAGCCAAAGGGCCATATTTCATTTTGGTCTCTCGCCTTGAGGCCAGATTGCAGCGGTATGTAGTACGGAGGACAAATGCGGTGAGCTGCCTACCCACCCACACCACCCCAAAATCCCTGGATATTCTAGCTTAAAGCCTTTAGTGCTAGTAATTTAGCACGAGTCCAAGGAGAGGCATTTCAAACTGTTAGAATGGGTGAAAGGCTGCACAAAAGCCAAGGAACCAACAAAAGCTTGGTGACTGGGTGACAGGAGATGGGCCAGTAGAAGGCCCTTGGCCCTCTAACAAATTCTGGAGGGCTAGATAGGAATCTCTGTAGGGCCAGAGTCCTGCATCCCTGTGCTATACAGAGAGGAGGATGAGGATGAATTGCAATCCATTGATATCTCACCTTTCTTCCTCTCACAATGAACCCAGAACAGCCAGCAAGGTTTTCCTTCTCTTTCCTTTTGTCCTTCGAGCCAGCAACTGGCCCAAAGTCACTCAGCTGGCTTTATGGCTGGGTGGGGACTCAAACCCAGATCGCCTGAGTCCCAGTCCCAGTCTTTGCTACAGGAAAAGAAAGAATGGTCTCAAAGGGATTGGATTAAAGGCAGGTGGCAGATGGAACAAATGCTGTTCATGTGTCTCCACAAAGGCCCTGGGGAGAAACCCCTAAAACAACTTCCTTTTGACCTTCCATTCTCGTGCATTCACAGTGTTGGCTTCTGATCTGATTTGGTTCAGTCTCACAGACGTGAAGCATTGGCCGGTTTTAGGAGTCATTCACACAAGATTCCTCTTGTTGTTGTTCTCTTCATTTCTACACCGCCCACTAGCCAAAGCTCTCTAGGCAGCTCTTAAGTTTACAGCATTACAGAATGCAAAATACAGATAAAATGCAGGATAAAGTTCCAATATATATTTTTAAGAGCTAAAACAATTACCACACAAAATACTGGAAGTGCTAAAACACAACTGGCATAAATGCCCCATCATATGCTATTAAATACCATCAAATATATGACATTGGCATTTTCAAGAAACAATTTGCTGATGGCCACCACTGCTCAGGGATCCCCATCCTGTCCCTGTTGAGACGCCTGTACAGGTGCATTTCTTGTTTCCAGTATCCTTCCACCCTTTTTAGATGAAAGGACTGTGGACATGCTTGGGTACCTGCATGTTTAATCCAAAAATCCCTTCCAATGCGCAGTGGCCTGAGTGTGCAAGACCTGTGCATGAAGATAAATCATTTCTGCGCTCGCGAATGGAGAATGTTCCAGTGGCTGGAACAGTTTAGCTTTCAAGCAGCGCTCCAGAAAGTAATGTTGGAGCAACTGAAGGTAGTGCTTGGCTCATTTGCTCAAGCAGCTCCTTGATGCAGAACCTTTCCTGAAGTCTTGTAATCTACTTCTGGGGAACACACTGTGTCCCGTGTTGGGCGTGTTCATGCATGGGGAACCCGGCATGCCGTAAAGCAGTGTTGTTCAGCCTTAGCCTCCCAGGACCCATCTGCCCACCTAAGGTCTCACTCCAGCCCTTCAGGGTTCCCCAGGCAGCTACAGACGCTTCCTGCTGCTCCGGCTCCAGCCCCTCTCCGCTGCCTGCCAGTTCTTGGATGGATCCCTGTTTTTGCATAGGTTTGTCCTCCATCCTAAAGGGTCGAAATTCCTCTCCTAAGGCTTGCTTACTGGCAATAAGAGCTATCATCTACAATGTTCTCCTGTTTTTTGGATGTTTGGCTCTGGACCATTTGCCTTCAGCCCCGTCCCCCACCAGAATGAGGCTCCCACGAGCTGCTGCAGTTTGGCCGCCGAGCTGAAGGGGGCTCAGTGCCGCTGCCTTTGGGAACGTTGCCTTGAGGCGGGCTGTTGGACCTGATGGCTTTCACATCTTTTTCATCTCCAGCTGTTTTTTCTCTAAGGGAATGAATATAAAAGTCGTATATTTCCAGATCTGCCTAGAGTAGGAGTGAAGTTTGCAGAGAGCCTGACAAGAGTGGGCTCCTATTTGTGTCTGAATCCGTTTGCATTTGGTAATTATGTCTGTCAATGCACCTTGCTCAGGCTTTGATCCTTGTCAGCTAACATTTACTTAGCATAATCAAAGTCATGTAAATTGCAGGATATTCATTCCTGTCCCGGAATTGCTGATATTTTCAGGTAGTGCCTTCCCTCTGCCTGCAGGCACACGCATCTCCTTGCCACCACTTCTGCTTTTCAAGCTTTGAAATCCAGGCGTGAATGCGAAGCCTTGGTGGCAATTTGAGGACTTCAGCTCCGAAAATCAAAAAGTAGGCCAGTCAGGGGTTACGGGAGGAGATGGAAGGACTGAAGGCATGGAACAAAGGGGGAATTAGGCAGGGTAATGGAACATCTGAAACTTGAGCAGATAACCCTTATTCCTGGGAAGCGCACACAGACCTTGCTGTTCTGATCCTCCTTGTTCAGAACTTTGCAAAATGGCATCCTGTTGGCTGAAGGAGCACAGCCAGTTCAGGCAATTACAGGAAATGCGTCCCATGTAAAAGGATGCTCTTCCCCAGCACACATTCCACACACCGAGCAGTGATGGACCAAGAGCAGATGAAGGAAGGAGGCCAACGCCTAGGTGAGCAAACCTATTCCCCGAAGTACAAGACTGCTCATCTCCAAGGGTTTATTCCCAGCTGAGCATCTATCAAAGTACAGCATGAAGCAGAGGTCTTGCTCAAAGGCAACCAGCGTGAACCCTGCCATGCCAACAGATTTTAGCTTCCAGTAACTAAATCTTTGGGGAGGCGATTCAAGCGTTTTGGATTTGGAAAACACTGCAAAAGTAGGCAACAACCAAACAATCAGTGTTCAGAAGAAAATGTTGAAGGGAGGGGACTTAGCCAGTTGGGGAACCCCAGAGGGTAGACAGGGCCCCTAGTAGGATGGATTTGGTTCCTGGACCTGAGGTTTTGCACCCCTGGCCTATGGAATCCAGAAAAATGCTGTGTTCAGGAGATAGTACAATGTAAGATCAAGCAAATGAGCAAACCAGGCATTTTCCCTCTGTAAAATGGAGATACAGGCACTCCAGCATGCAATGCCCTCGCACAAACAAACAATATAAAAGCACAGAACCCATTTGGCACATCAAGCATGCTTTCTGTGTGAACCTTAAATGACAAATAACAACTGCTTGACATAAATCCCAGGAGGAGATGAACAAGAGCTGATGGTGCTGATGGTGCACCTCTGCAGACATCTGCCCTTCTGTTACCATTTATTTTTTCCATCACCCCTTTTCTGCGATCAACAATGCATTGGCACCAGCCAGAGTCAGTCAGTTTTCTCCGTTCTCACTAATGGGACCAAGAAAATACACCCTAATGGAATCAGGGAGGAAATGCAACTGCTGCTCTTTGCCTGGAGTCTTGAGCTGCCCCTGGGCTTGCAACTCTTCTGTCTTCTGCTCACTGAACCAGGGACTTGCTGTATGCAAACATGTGGTCTTCTTCCGAGCAATGTCCTGTCTTCATGAGCAGCTTCTGCAGTGAGGGCTTCATGCACAGAGAGAGCAACGCAGCCACACCGGTGGCCCTGCACTTGAGGCGGCACCATTCCTCAGCCCCACCTGTGACATTTGCACCTGCATTATGGACCCCTGCAGAACAAAAGACTGGAAACGTACCAGATGAGAAAGCGATGCTTTTATTTTCTTAATGCAACTCCACATGTTATGTTTGGGAGAGTTGTTTGTAGCCATGTGAAGCGTGCTAGCTACAGCATGGATCACCATCCTCTAGTCTGGTCTTGTGCGATGTTTATGCAAATTAACTTCAGTTCGGTGACTCTTGCTCATCAGCAAATGAGATTGCATTTACTGCAGAGCATGAGATTAGAGTCCTGCGGCACCTCTGTAGCTCAGAAGTCCCCGGACTTGAATGGGACTGACTCCCAGGCAAGTATGCAATGGATGACTGCGTTAAATCTGACAACTTGGAATAATATGTGCGGGCTTTGCACAAGCCTGCCTGCATTCCCAGGCAGGTAGTAACTCACACTTTGCCTTAGGACGAGGGTGTTGAAGTTCTCTTGGCAGCCAAATTGCAGAGGTGCATCGGAATGAAAGCGAAAGGAATGGGGCCAAAATACCAGAAGTTCTGCCATATGGTAGCGTACAGCTCTTACTGCCAGTAACTGAGCCTCAGGCAAGAACGTTCAATCTCTAAGAAAGGGGGAAATTGTGCAAAAGCTGGAAAACTGCTACACGATCAGCGGTTGGAAAGGGGGGGTGTCCAAGAAAAGGGGGCACTGCCCTTGGACAGTCCTGTAGTACTGGCTATGTTTTACTTCAGTTGTGAGTTATTAGTCTTAATTAATATTATTATTGTTTGGGGTATTATATGATATTTTATACTGTTGTATTCATTGAATTTTGTTTGAAAGCCGTCCAGAGACACATAGTGATTGGACAAGTTAGAAGTATCCCAAATAAATAAATTGGGATCTCAGAGGGGATCCTTTGCTCTGTGCCTGCAGCTTCTAGCCCTGCCTTAGGAAATAAATGTGCAGCCTTTGATCTGAGGTCTTTTCAACGTCACTTAATTGTTGTGTTCTTTTCTTTTCGACACAGTGAACAGCATTAAGCACATAGTAAGAAAGTACCGCGGGCATCTTCGAGCAAAGATCGAATCTGGAGAAGGAACCATCCCAGCTCGATGTCCCAGTGCCGTACAGACGTGGGATGGTGTGTTACTGGGGGAGCAACTGGTCACAATGTCTTGCACAGACAAAATTGCCAGGTAATGTAAGAGTGGAATTGTAACACAGATGGCAGCAAACATGGGGAAAATGTAACTGATACGATAAATGGTCATGTTTTCCAGTGGGGAAATAAATTAAGTTGGAAGGAAATGATTGAGTTGCCATAGAATCGTCTCCTTTTAATGTTGTTCTAGAATACACGTGTGCCTGTATGCTCATTTGATAGACCTGTGATTCTACAACAAATGTATATACTGTATACAAGGTGATAAGAGCATTATTATTATTATTACTATAAAATAATCACATTCAGTACCACAGCAGAACAACCTGCCTTTTTTTTCCTCCTCACTCTTCCCTGAGCAATTCTGCCCCCACAAATCTGAACCAACTGGTTCATACAGCTTACACTTGCACAGAAGAGGGGTTCTGCTTGCAGAAGGACCTTCTGCCCAGTTTTGGAAGCTTCCCCCATCCCCAACATCCTGCCGATTCCCTTCCATAAGTGATGGGTTGCACCGATTAGGATCCACTGCACACACAAAGGAAATGTATAGCTTCCCAAAAGGAAGGGAAGCTCTGGTTTCCTTTTGGAGGACCCCGCTGAGCATTTTCTGCTTGTTTTGGGTTGCCCCAGAAGTTCCAAATTGCCATTTGTGCAATGGAATTGGCAGAGCATGAGAGATTTGCAGTGGGTGTTGGTGCCCTACTGGATTCTGCCCCATAATGCACCCCATTAAGAAGTCTCTTTACTGTCTGTGTAGTATTTCCAAGAGTCTGAGGGCTGCCATGGGAAGGGTGAACAGAGAGGGCCATCTTCCTCAGGGCAGTTCATCTAGCATTAATCTAGATTCAATCCCATGGATGTAAAATAAAGATAATGCATTAGGAAAGACAAAGATTTTTTTCTGATAGTTTCTGTATCATTGTGACAAAACAGTTATATTTTGGTCTTCCTTTCACACAGATGAAACTTGGAAGTCGATAATGTTGTACAGTCACAGTGGCTATTTTGCCTGGTTGATCTAATAGCAATGATAGGAGGGTCCAGTGACCATACATCAAAATAATGTGGATAGGAAAAACTCATAACCTGGTCACACCACCTCCTAGAAGGGATGCTTCTAGATGCTGTGGTGGAACAGGAGGAACCTTTTCTGGCTGCATCTTTGTGAGGCATGGGACATGTAGCCTCCATCTTGGTGGCAGTCAGTGGTGCCTACCCAGTTCTGCTGAGCCTGGATTTGGAGACGGTCAGTCCAGCAGCACTCTGGAGTGGATGACCAAGTAGAAAACAAAATGGCCCATCAAAGAACACAAACGCTGAATCAGAAAACAAGTGTGGTGGCCATGTCTTTCAGGAACCCGGACAGATCACAGGGAACAAAAAAACTTGGCCCCACCAAGTGCCAGTTCTAGCCAAGCTCTAGTTCTCGAACCTGAGCCTAGGAGGGTTAGTCTCTGTTGACGTACCTGTGTTGGAGAGTGGACACTGGGGAGAGGAGGCCCTTGGTGTGGAAGGGGCAGCCCCCAAAGACTAACTCAGGGAGAACCTCTCTCTGGAGGACCCAGAGGGGCTCCTGGTGATCAAGATTATGATCAGTGTTGGTGCCCAGTTCCTCCACAGCTTTTACTGATGACCAGGCTGGCTTCTCCCCTCTGTACCAAAAGTTCTAGATGATATTGAAGTCAGGATCATGATACTTTTTTAATTCCTGCATCACAGACATTTATTACAGGGGACTTAGGAACAGGCGTAGGAGAGAAGTCCTGAGGCAGCCCTACTTTGAAATCCGTATTTCGACATCCCATTCCGATTTCAGTGTGGGAAGTTTTGCCTACTTGCCCCCATCTGGTGATGCTCTTCATGGAAACACTGGTCACATTCCTGCGGAGGTGCAGTTCCTTCCCTAAGGAAGAGGTCCCTATCCCATGATCTCCTTGTGGGTTTTCTACGTCATGGGGCCACCTTTGTCATAAGAGATGGACTCAGATTCCAGGAAGACATTCTGCCATAGTAATAACTATGAAAATGCTTGAGGTTTGGGGTGAAGACAGTTCCATACACAGGCCAAACTAAACAAACTGAGAGCATATTTCAGATGACCTTAGAATTCCCAAATGATATCATGACCACATGAAAAATGTTCTACCTTAAAAGAAAGCAAAGACTGAATGCCAAAGACTCAGAATATAAAGATGGTGACCTTCAAAAATATGTCACATTTGTTGGTGCACTGGCTTGTTTTGCTTTGTTTTGGATGCATGTGCTCAGATGATGTGATGTTTGTCTGATTGAGATGTTGACAAAACTGTCCTTTGACTCCGTTGGTTTAGAGAAACTTCTACGTGGAGAACATGGGTCTCAGTGGCTTTTAAGCAATCTGATTTGCGTGTCTTAGAAAGGGAAGGAGGACCAGAGTAATTTTCTGACATATTGGAAAGAGTTACTAGAGCTGGGCACAATTAATAATTTATCCAACAGCTGCTACTATATTTCCTTGCTCACAAGGTATTTGTAAGCCAAAATGCAACTTCATCAATTTGGTTATTAGTCAAAGCATTCAGCAACTTTTTTGCATGTAGAAGTTTCATCACTAGTACATTGTTCTGTTAGAGTTCAATGCTACATTCTGTAACAAGTTCTGGCATTCTTTGCAGCCAGAGTTGTGGAATTCCTGCTGTCAAAGAGACCCTGCTCCTAAAAATGGTATCGGATACCTCATGTGGCTGGCTCCAGCTTCAAGGAGATCCTTGGGAAAGCCCTTGGACATTGGTAGCTGAGGGCAACCCCAAGCTGGCAATTTACATTTTCTGATGTAGTGACACTCCAGGGCACTGGGAGGAATTTAAAATGGCAGCTCACAAACTCAGCCTCCTGGTGCAGGGGCCAATCCTGCCGAGGTGCTGGAACCCAGCCACTCTGGGGGAGGCTGGGTGCTGATGCTGGCCTTGGTATTACATTATATAGAGGCTAACTAGAAGTGAAAAAGCTTAGCTCTTTCTGCTAAATTGTGGACACATGGAATCATACATTGGAAGAGGCCTCAAAGATATAAGAAGTAGGGATCTGCTCCTCTACTCCAGTTCTCAAGTCAAGCCTCAAGCCATTACTTTCAAGTCCACATTGAGTCTCAAGTCATTGCCAGAAATGTTCGGCTTGAGTCTCAAGGCTCCCTCTTTCCCTGTCCCCTTGCCACTCCTTCCCACCGCCGCCTCATGCTGAAAGGTGAGCTGAAGCCTGCCCTTCCCTTCCCTTCCCCTGCCACAACCCCCTCTCCCTATCCTGCCCCCATCCACTTGAAACTCCCTCCCTCCTACCACCTCCACTGTTCCTGTGCCCCCTTCCCGCCCTTCACACACCCCTTCCAGCAAGGCGCCCCCGGATAGCCTGCTGCACAAGGGATGCGGGTGGCAAGCCCTGGAGCAACCTGGTTGAGTCGAGTCTCTTGCCTGTCGCTCCTGAGCCAGACGTGGGAGCAGATCACTCAGGCTGAGCCCCCAGCACTGATACAAGGCATAAGACCCATCAAGATTCTATTCTCAGAGCAGGTTCCTGAGTAGCTACACATTCTTTGTGGATGTGCGTTCCTGTGTCTTCTCTGCCAACCGGTTAGTGTGTTGGCGCCAGATATCGGGCTACCCTGACCCGTCTGCTGGAGATCTCCCTTTTCTTACTGGGAACCTGAAATCCTTTATGCTAGCCCTAAAAAGCGTTCTCAGCACTAGAAGCTGCTCATAAGAGAAAAGTTACACATTTAAAAATTCACAGGGTTTTCTGTGCTGGGCTGTTGGGATCACATCAGTTGGCTGCGGAAGGCTCGTTCCTGGAAACTGTAGCTTTGAAAAACAAGCCACTTGAAAAGCTTCGTATTAATGGAAGTGGAAATCAATTAACACAGCGAGCTCCCCAACCAGACGATCTGTGCACATGATGCAAGTCAATTTGCAATCGTCTCTTTCTTATTTAACCCCTTTCTGCATCAATCAGAATTTGGCCTCGGTCTTTCACTACCAGATACAAAAAGATGTGCCACCCGCTGCTAAAATACAGATCAAACCCTAATGCAGTAGTTCCAGTTTCAAAACCAATAATAGCCGAGTTGTCATATAACTAGAAAAGCAGCAGGTGTTCTGGAGTGTACACACTAGCATGAATAACAATCCTTATTGCGTGAAAATATAGAAGGAAGCTTTAATAATTGTCTGCAGGAGCCTTCAGCACTGTGAATGGCAAAGTCTTCTGGGTATGCACACGGCACTCACTCAGGTTGACCTCAGCCAGCCAGGTTCTGTTCCCATGCCATCCTGGCTGGTTGTAGGAGATCTTTGCAATTCAATGGGTGGAGTTACACTTCAGTTCTTGGCTCTAACATTGCAAGGCATAAACCAGCAGAGAACACTTCTTTCTGGAGGCATAAAACAATCAGAATTCCTTTGCTGCATTCTGAAGAACCTCCATGCTTTCCTGAGTTAAGCTGACTTGCTTTCAGATGTGAGACACTGACCTTTGGCTCTTCTGTGGTGCATTCAGAACAGGTGAATAGCTATGCTGTGGCATGAAAGGTTGGAAATAGTTCTAATTCAAAGGATAGCCCCTAAGAATCATAGAGTTCGGAGGTACTCTGGAGATCATCTAGCCTGATCCCTACTCAGTGCAGATGTCGTTCAGATTAAGATGCATCTGCTTTGAGTGGATTAGTGAGGGCCTACTTCTGTCTCCTATCCTACATGTCATACCAGGTTGAACCATTGGTCTTGTCAACAGTCTCCAAGGAGGTCATGTTCTGGGACTGAAGGACAAGATCCAATATTTTCAGAAATACCTTTCTTAATTGATCAACTCTCCAAGGTCTTGGGCAAAGGTCCTTTCTACCCCTGCTTCCTGGCCTGCTTCAACTACTGACATCAAGGATCAAACTCGGGCCTGCTGCTTGCAGGGCCTGTACAGCTAGGACCTCTCTTTCATTTTGCATTGACACAATGCACTCCTGTTGCTCACCTAGTCCAGTATATGCTCAGGATGGTAGCAGAGCAT